AAAACCAACATATGCCTCGACCACAGCACGGAAACACAGAAGGATTGTCAAAACAGTGAGGTGGCATGACCGCCCCAAAGATTATAACTCTTCAACCACTGAATTTCAACTGAAATAGGAAAACATGACAGACAAAGCTTTCAAAAGTTTAGTGATAAAAATGGCAAAAATCTCAAAAAAAGTACACAAGTAGATTAATTTAATCCAGGACTTAATTAAATTAAGAAAACCCATAATGGAAAAAGCTGGAAAAATACATCAGAAAATCAGCAACATTCTGAAAGAGTCAGCAATGTGGGAAACTTCAGCAATAAAATTAAGAATTTGCAAAAAAAAAAAAAAAAAGATATGTTTGGAACACAATGGAAAGCATCACCAACACATTCTGCCAAGAGAGAGAAAAGGCAAGAAAGAAGAACAAGGTAAAAAAAAAATTTAGTCTCAAATACCAATAATTTAAAAAACACAAATGAGCAAAGCCATACTATCTAAGCATTCTGGAATACTATCAAAAATCAAATCAAAGAATTCATAAAATAGAAGGAGTTACTATAATAATTTTTATTAAATTATTATTTAAAAGCAATTTAAATATATATTTATATATAAGTATATAGATTAAATATATAATTGAAAACTTTATAAAATAAATAAATATAATTATTAAATCAAAGACATCAAGAATTCAATTCAGTTCTAGAAAAAGTTCCCCAAATCTAAAGAAATAAAAATATAAACATTAAACAGACCTGGAGTTACAAATATATCCATGACCAGAGAAGAACCCTCTCCATGACATATTAGAGTCAAGATAGCAAATACAAATCCAAGAAACTGTGTTAAAGGGGAAAAGTGTCAACTTACCCCCAAAGACAAACATCAGAATAACATCAGCTTTCTTGTCAGCTGCCCAAAGTTGAAGGAAGAATTTAACTGTGCACTTACTTCAAGCCTCAGAAAAGATACCTCCCAGTCATTATTGCTACACCTGGCAAAGCTATCTTTTAAAATTGATGTTGAAATGAGGACATTTCAAAACTGATACAAACTAAGACAGTTCATGGCAACTAAGCTGGCACTGATGAAAATACTTAAAGGAATACTCTCTGCAGAGGACGAAAGACAATTTCCATCATGAGATCACAGGATCATCATCGGGTCTAGCACAGTGAACCAGCAGAGCCCTAATACTCATAGGAGAGAAAGAAGAGAATAAACAAGCCAACCAACAGTAGAAAGCAACCAGTGAAGCCTCAGGGGCTCTTAAGCATCTCTCAACAATAACCACAAATACAAATGGTTCCCTCTGGGAATACGGATTCTGACTCTCTCTAGAACCATGAGCCCAAATTTTTCTTTTGTAAGTTGTCTTGGTCATCCTGTTTTGTCACAGCAATAGAAAAATAACTGAGACATTGGCCTCTGCATACCACCAAAGACTGATTAACTGGACTGAAAACTATATCAGCCATCTGCTGTCTCAGAGAAACAGTCTTCACTGGGAAAGCCACCACAGACAAAATAAAGGGCAATCTATCAATAAAATGGGTGCTGAAAGTAGTTTGGCATGGCTATTTTGATATGTGATAAAGTAGACATATTAAAAATTAGTCAAAAGAGATAAAGATCGTTAAATGAAAACAGAGGTAACTATCTTGAAAATGTAACAATTACAAATAGATATTTGGTAAATATTTGGAGCTCTTGGTTTAACTAAACAAACACGAATGGGAATAAAAAGCCAGATAGATCCCGAGACACTATCAGTGGATAAGTCACTCAAACTCAAAGTCAATGAACAAAGTTTAGCATTAGACTGAACCGTAGGGCTGGAGAGATGGCTCGGTGGTTAGGTGCCTTTGCTGCTCTTGCAGAGGACTTGGGTTCAGTGCTCAGCACTCACATGGTGGCTCTTAGTCATTTCTAACTCCAGTTCCAGGGGAATGACTTCCTCTTCTGGCCTCTGAGGGCACTGTATGCACAAGGAACAAACATATGCAGGCAAAGCACGTGTACATAAAAAAATAAAAATATTTTCTTTAAAAAAAAAAAGTGAGTGAGTGGAGAGCGTCTAGGGGGAGTTGGAGGAGGGGAACTGTAATCAGAAAAAAGTGGTATGAAAATTTTTCACTTAAAAAAATATATTGATTGAAAAAAGAAATTGCTAAACACCAATTCTTCTTAAACTGTTAAAAAGGGAATGAAAACTTCCAAGTGCATTTACAAAGTCAGTGCTGTCCTGGAACCAAATCAAATAAGGACACAATGAAAAACAGCAACAATTAGCCAATTTCCCTGATGAATTTAGACAAAAAAATTCTCCAAAGCATTCTTGCACATGTCAAAAACACATTACGATGATGGTGTATTATGACCTACTTGATTTTATTCCAGGAGTGATTCAACACGTGCATATTAATTACGGTAAAGTAGTACATAAATAGACTTAATAGGTGGTATGAGATTAAAAGTTAATTGTAATCCCTGATAACCACTAATAACAAAAAATATAGTCATAAAAGGAACAAAAAGGGAATTAACATAGTAAACTTCCAAAAAAAAAATCAAAACACAAAGGAAGACAGTGATAGAACAGTTAAGGATATGACAATAGAAAACATCAGAAATTTACAGAAGTTAAATCCTTCCTCATCCATGATTAATTTAAACATAAATGGACCAAACTCTTCAAACAAAAGAAACAATTTATCAGAATAAACTTTAGAAAAAGTCCTCCAATTGTATTCTGTCTTCCAGAGACTCTTCTTTGTTCTAATACTGCAAAGCATTGAAAGTGAAGGCCTGTGAAATGACCCAACCCACAAGCTGTGACCAAAGAGAGCTTGTTTGCTAGGTTAATATGAGACAAAATAAAATAACCCTTAAGTCATAAACTGTTACAATAGACAAGTATTTTACATATTGATAAAACAGTAATCTAAATACAAAGGTAAAGGAATTGTAATCATACATATTTGTTCGATGGAGTTTTGCTGACTTCAAAACATGAAACAATCTAACAGATTTGAAGAGAGGAAAAGGACAGTTTGCAAAAGCAGTTGGGGATTTCCATACCTCACTTTCAATAATGGATAGAATATTTAAACTAGTCATTAAGCAACTACAGGACATGAACAACATAACGAAACAAATACGTAACACAGGAAAACCACTGTACCAAACAAGAGCAAATACACATTCTTCTCACGGGCCATTTCTTCAAACCATGGTATGTCAGAACACAAAGCAAGCCTCTGTACATTAGAAATCACATCACACAAAGAATTCTCTCAGAACAACCTAAGGATGAAGCCAAGAATTCATCAAGAAAACTTGAAAACTCATGAATGTTTAGAAATGAGCACATTTCTAGATATGGTGCCAAATCATAATTCCTAAGGAGAAGTGACAAATTTATTTGAGATGGGTAAAAACAAAACACAACACCCCAAAACTCTATGGGATGCAGTAAGAGCAGCATCAGAGGAGAGTGTGTGGCTATCTCTACCGCAAAAGAAAGACCTCAAATAAGTGATGATTTTGTAGTATATGTACACCTATAGATATAATGACACATATAGGGAACAAATTAATAGAAGTTGTATCTTTAATATTTAGGAATGTTTTCTTTCTCTTTCTTTTTTGGGAAAAGTGGTTTTGGTTCTTCCAGACAGAGTTTCCCTTGACGGTCTTGGACTCGCTTTGTAGATCAGGCTGGCCTGGAACTCACAGCAATCCACCTGCCTCTGCTTCCTGAGTGCTGGGATTACAGGCATGCACCACCATACCCAGATAAGGAATGTTTTCTTTATGTTTCTTTTTTTTAAATATATAATGGCTATACTTAACTGTAAAAGCAGATACACAGACTGATACCTTTTTGAAGGTGAAAGCTATAAGACTGTTTATCACCTATGTATGCGAAACATGGAGACCATTTCTTCTATACAGATCATTTATAAATTTTCATTCAACAAACACTTTTGGAGATACTACTTTGTTTTAGGCACTCATTTATAAATGGTGTTACCATAGTGTTCCTGGAGTTCCTTCTTTGTTCCTGAAAATGGACGGGAATTCTCACTCCCTCCACAGATTGAACCCAGCTATTCACCTTTAAACTTTAAATCTCTTCTCTAATTGTTAAATGCAGTTAACCTTATGGTAATAGATTGCCTGATCTCACACATGCGTTATTTTTAGAGAAGGGGTACAAATCTTAAAACTTGTTGGCCACTGGCCACCACTACCAAGTGCGAATTCTCTTGTTTGTCAAACTATTTCTTCTACTATGTGGCCACACTTTGTTTTCTTCCTTTCTGGAACTCTGGTTTAGCCTTCTCCCATTAACGCTGTTTTAGCTGTGAGACCGCTGGACTGCATGGCTTTTGAACTTACTCTTACTAGGTCTTCCTGCTGTTCTCCCGGCCATGGATCACACATTCTAAGTCAGCAAGAAAGTGCCTCACACGCCACACAGCACAACTGTGACAAGGCAAAGCTAGACACCAAAGCGGTGAGAATTTAATTTAATGGCAAAATGAACCTATCCTCTCAGGTATGGTGGACCTTCATGTTGTCTGAGGGAAGAGTTCAAAGAGTGGTTTCTGAGAGAACCTAGTCCCTGCTGTGCCTGAACCTGCCAGGAAAAGAGAACAAAACAAACAGAGAACAGTGCAAGAAGAGAAACAGCTCTAGGCACCAGTGAAAACCATGAGGCCTCCTTGCTAGGCGGTGATGGAGGATCCAGATTGCCTGTCTAGGGGACTTACCTCCTCTCAGGAGACGGTCTTCCAGCTCCTGCTCCCACTGCAGTAGCCCACAACTAGTCTTCCTTTTTGAGAGTGATTGTTGCCCAGTCATCAGCCAGATATCCTGCTCAGCAGAGGCAGAACAAAGCCCCGACAGAATCACAAGCTCATGCAAGGTTACCTGGACAATCAAGCCCAGGCCCCACCCACAGTGCCTGGCAACAAGGCCAGTCAGAGGCGCAGCAGAAAATGGATGAACCTCCAGGAGAGGCTCCAGATGGATCCTTCAACCAGGAAAACATAGCCCAATCCCCAGATAACCAGAAGACCCAGGGAGAAGCAGGACAGGCTGCTCACAGAGGTTCCAAACATCCTGAGGATGAACAACCTGAGCCAACTGGCGACAAGGCACCCAGCCAAGCTGCTAACACAAGGTCTGGACAGACTGACCAAGGAGCTTCCGAAGAACTGATGGACCACAGATCACCTAGCAGTGCTGAGATAAAAGCATCTCAGCAAGTTGACCATAAAATATCTGAGCCACCTAGTCAGCAAATACCCAGGAAACTTGAGGGGAAAGTCCGTGAGGAGATAGAGGTTGGAATGTCTTTGCCAACTAGTAAGAGAGCTTCTGAGCAGACTGACCAGAGTTCATCCTACCAAACTGACTCTAGAATGTCAGGGAAGAGCCAACCATACAGCACAGATGATTACGAGGCTGAAGACTTTCCTGTTCAACGTAGGTTTCGTGAGGATAAGGAAGCAGACTATGCCCGTATGGGACGTGCAACAGAAAACGAGGCTGACTCATACTACAAACCCTTTGCCCAGGGTTCATTATCTGAAACCTTTGACAACAATGAAGCGGACCAAAAAATACAGCCTTGCACATTTGAAGAGAGTCAAATAGAACTCCGATCCAGAGCTTCAACAGGGAAAACAGAAAGTTCAGCCACGGTCCAAGTCTTCCCACCTGAGTCTGAAATAGCCACTGACTTCCAGTTCTCACGTGAAAAACTGCCCCACATTACAAGCAAAACATACTATTTCTCCAATCAAGAAACAGTTCAAGGCACAGAAAACACTACTGTAGGTAAAAGGGACAGCTGATACTTGCCTGGGAGGTTGGAGGCCAAGATAGGACCTGTGGGGTTGGAAACAAGATCACCAGATAGAAAGATTCGTGCTAATTTGGAGATGAGAAATAAATCCATGTAACTTGCAGCTTCTAGGCGACCCATAGGCTTCAGGGCCTCCTGATTATCCTCAGGCCACTCAGGAAGGATCAGTGAACCAGGATTTAGGAAGCCAGAGTTTCCCGTTTTCTACTACTAATTCTGCCCCACTAGATTGTTTCAAAGCCTGGGTTCCTACCATAGCAAGGGAATTCAGAGTTCTCTGTGTGAGAGCAAGTATTTGAAAGAGAGGAAGATACCCTCCCTCCAAATGTTGAGGTGCTTTATAGTGTTTACAGATGAGATGGGTCTCCCCAAGAACTGGCCCTGAGAACCTACAGGCAGTTAGTGGTTTGGGTGACAGATATATTTTCTTCAGTAGTATAACCACTGAAAAGCTCCCAGTGCTTCCATAAATAACTTTTGACCCATCTTTTGTAAGGAACCTTTAAGGTCATTGGTCTCTCTCTCTCTCACACACATACATACACATACATACACACACACACACACACACACACACACACACACACACAGGAGATGAAAGTAGCACAGGTGTATCTTCCTTAATTCTTGGTGTTAAATCTTAATTCTTGATATTAAATTTCATCAAATCTAGATCCCATTTGATAGCAGCAAAAAAAATGCTATTAATTTCAGATATATTTTTAAAAAAATGCTTAGGGTAATATTTCAATTCCAGGATGCTTACGAAGAATTTGAGCAAAGAAAGGGTTTTCAAAGATACAGCCAAGCTAGCAGGAGGCGGTTCCCTCCCATCGTTTATGAAGATCCTTATCAAATTGCGCTCCGATACATGGAAAAGCACAACATTCTTCAGATATTCCAGGTAAAGCTCTTAACTCTGAACCTTTCTTCCTGATGATGGGCCTTGAAAGTGGTAGAAGAAATTTGCTGAAAAGGGTGGGGGCTGGGTGAAGGAGCACAGCCTATTTCAGAAATTTTAAAAGGAATGGATAAGAAACACCAAGAAAATGATGCCGTGGTGTTGCGCCCATCAAAAACATTGGAGACTATGTACGATGGTTGCTGGAAAAGAATCTGGCCAATAGTTAAAGTTTTGGCTTTAAATAAGTTTGTAAGAAAAAAAAAATGAGCGAAAATGGAAACTAAGGGGCTTTCTAAACCAGGGTCTTCTAAAGGAGATCTAAGGCCTGCTTAAGAGCGACATTCTTTAGAAGAAAATGGTAGAATTACAAATTCCTTCTGCTTCCTGAATTCATAAATTTCATAGATCCCAGGGTGTAAAGTAGAACTTTTCTTTAAAGATATTTCTTGAGCAGTGTGGAACTATGAGAGATTATCATAGCTATAATCGGGGTGAGGTTTTTGTTCACCGGGTAAATTTTTTTTATATTACTATTACTTAACAAGAGACACATGTGCCCATCTATAACAGTGTATGTCTGGAGTAACTGTTTTAGACAGGTGTAACATTAGAGTAGTTTGCTTCCAAAGGAAGCATCCAAACTAGAAAAGTTTAAATTAGGGTACAGAGCATTGGTTCTCAACCTGTTGTTAGCAACCCTGTGGGGGTCAAAAGACTCTTCCACAAGGCTCACCTAAGACCAACAGAAAGCACAGATTCCTAACAAGGTATGAATCATACGTTATGATTCATAACAACAGCAAAACCACAGTGATGAAGCGGCAATGAGAGTAACTTTATGGTTGGGGGTCATCACAACACAAGGAACTGTGTGAAAGGGTCACAGCGTGAGGAAAAGTTGACGTCCACTGGGATAGGGACATCTGTCAGCACCATCATTCACATCTTTGTGAACTGGGGGCCATGGCTTGACATCCATGGCTTTCAGATTCCTCACGAGGATTTAAAAAATACCTATTTCATTAGCCCTGTTTTATGATGTTTCCTTCTTAAAATGCTCTTTGATTGGGAGAGCACAAGTGGCTAGTTTCTGTCTTTAATCAAAGAACTAGTAATGGCTAAAGAGAAGGAGGGGTTGCTAAATTACGAAATAGAAGGCAGAGCTTGGGGGCAGGCAAGAAAGCTCAGTTGGTGAAAAGCCCTTGCCTTCTGATCTGAAAAGCCAAATGAGCTGAGTTCAACGCCCCCCAAGCCCATGTAAAGGTGGAAGTAGAGAACGAACTCCATGAAGCTTGATCTCTAACCTCTGTACACATACCAAGGTACACACATAAAAATGCACATACTGATGATACATTTAAATTTTTTTAAAAAAAATAACCATTTTATAATTTTTCAAATTAAAGAAGAACTAATGCCTTTGATGCAGTGTAGTTTTAAGGAAAATAAATTATCAAGTCTGTATATTGTTCAATAAAAACATACCTGAAGAGGCTGGTTTGTAGCGCAGTGAAAAGATGCTTGCCTCACGTACACACTGTAATCTCCAGCACTATATAATTAGTTGATCAAGTAATTAAATTAAAATTTTCAAGTCTAGATTGGATACCTCATTGAGGGACAGCAGGTACATTAAGCATATTTGAATGTGTCATTTCTGAAAATTAACCTGATTGGCAGTTCCTGATTATGCTAACAGTTTGAGCTTTTCAATAACAGCAAAAAGTATGAAAGTCAGCCTCAAAGACCTGATATTTCCTTTCCCACTTAATACTAAAACTAAACATAATTGTCACGTTGTAAAGCCAAGCATCTCAGAAGACTGTACGTTAAGCCCCCCATGTTTTCTATTCCTATTTAAAAGGCCATTGTTTGATTCTTTTTCAAGTGATTAATTTGGTAATTGATCATCTAGCCAATACCACGGTTCTCAAAACACTTCCAAACTTTCTCACCACCTCTTTGGTCTTGGAAATAGCCCAAAATATTACTTATTATTAAATTTTTATCTCACCAGTTTTTTATCTTAATTTGCCTGATTTCATCCAAATAAAGTAAGAGGGCTAGAGAGATGGCTCGGCAGTTCAAGGGCATTGACTGCTCTTCCAGAGGACCCAGGTTCAAATCCCAGCACCCACATGGCAGCTCACCACTGTCTGTAACTCTAAGATCTGACACCCTCACACACAGACATACATGCAGGCAAAACACCAATGCACATTAATAATAAATCATTTGAAAAAGAAAGTAAGATGTTAGGAGACCTGTGAACATCTTTAGAAGGGCTATGAGATATCCTAGGGTAGAGGGGAGCTAACTGCAAACATCTCAGAACCAAAGCATGGTGCATTGTGTTTCTCTCAGCAGATCACTGAAAACCTAGTCTATGAAAAGCCTGATGACCCCCTGGATTTCATGCTGGGCCAGGTATGAAGTGGGAGAGCGAAACGATCCTCCTTCTGGTCTCATGGTTGGAAACAGACATGCGCAGCCAGATGACCAAAGCAAAACACGAACAGCTGCAAGTCATCAGGAAGGAAACGGACCTGCAGCTTCCCCTCAAGAGTTTTTACTAAAGTATAGAATAAAGCTAGGTATGGTGGCTCGCATCTTTAGTGCCAGTCCTTGGGAGGCAAAGGCGAGCAGTTCTCTGTGAGCCCAAGGCCAGCAAGGGCTTCGTAGCGAGACTCTCTCTCTCTCTCAAACTGAAAAAGACCATCATCCCCAGCTTCACAGACTTCCCACAAAGGAACTGCTTGTTTTTGACCTTTATAATAACGTGCTCGCTTTTCTTTGAAATTTTACTGGTGATCAGTGGTGAAACACTGCTGTTGAGACCCGTGGGCTCCTTGAACTGAACCATCTGCAGTCAGTATTGCTTTTGTCTTTCTCTTTTGCTCAAAATTACATACGTGTTATTCATCGCGTAGAACGCTGTGGCCAACCCATTCTCTTTTTCACGGGCATGTAGCTTATTTCCAATTTGGAGCTATCACAAAACATGTGGCTAAAAGCCTTCCCACCCGCGGCTTTGCGTGGCACGTTTCTCCTGGCTGTATCCTTTAAGCCCTAGATTGTAGAGCGTGTATTTGCTTAGCCTCAAGCGAATTGTGTCCTTCTCTAGCGTGAGTGTGCCAGTTTGCAACCCCTTTCCCCCAGTAGCTGGATAGCTTTGCCGCTCACTGCTGTCACTGTATTTAGCCTTGGCTGTTGAGGTAAGCAGGCTGTAAAATTTGCTGTGTCCTCTTGCCTTTTCCTAGCTAACAGGCAAGTGCATGTTTTTCCATCTAGCCGTTTTCAAACACTTATTTTTCTATAATATTGCTTCATGTCTTACTCATTAGCAGCAGGTTTCTATACGCTCTGGTCCCAAGTGTTTGCTTAATCACATTTCCGTTCTTACATCCTTCTACCCTCTGTCTCGCCTTCTAGCTCTTATCTTTTTTTGATCTGCAGAAATTCTTAAATTTAATATCAAATATAGCAATATTTTTCTTTATGATTAATACTTCCACTGTTTTATGTTAGAAGTTTCACTCACATTTGATTATGATTTTCTACATTATTTTACAGAGTGTGTGTGTGTGTGTGTGTGCATGTGTGTATGTGTGTGTGTGTATAATGAAGCAGGGTTTGTTTGCTTGTTATCTTTCACATCTATGTCCATAATCTTCATCAGTTTGTATACAATATAAGATTATGCAAAGATTCACTTTTTTCATTCATCCAGAAACCACCGTCTTTTAGTAAAGGCCGTAATTTGCACGCTGATCTGTATTTCAATCACCCAGCATATCTATCTAGAATTGTTTCAAAATAAGACAATTATTATGGCTGGAATGACTCTGTACCTAGTAGAGAAAGCATGCCCACTTTTTTTCTTCTTTGAACATATCTTTGACCCTCTTGGACCATATTAGAACTAATTTCCATATTAGTTCTAAGAATTATTCGTCAAGTTACACAAATGCATATACCTCCATTTACACGCAAACACACACTAGTGCAGTGATTCTCAACCTTCCTAATGCTGTGACCCTTTCATAAGTTTCCCATGTTGTGTTGACCCCAACCATAAAATTATTTCCTTGCTACTTTATAACTGTAATTTGTTACCATCATGAATCATAAGGTAAATATCTAAAATGCAGGATATCTGATATGTGAGCCACAAAAGGGGTTACAAACCCACAGGTTGAGAACGACCACGCTAGTGAGGTTTTTGCTGTGGTTGCTTTGGCGCTCAACTGGGTTTTTATTTGGTGAGAAGTGACAGCTTTAAAATGAGTGTTTGCCATTTGTGTAGGTCTTAACCTCTCTCGGTACATTTACTATTTGCATTCATGTTACACATGTGTTTTGGTGGCTTTACTCATGGGCATTTAGTTTTGGTGCTACTATTCATAGAAACTTTTAGAATTTCAGGATCTAACTAGCCAGCAAGTAGAAATACAATATTTTTGCTGTTGTGGTCATTAGCCTCACTGAACCTGACTGATTCTACGGATGTATGTGTTGAAGGATTAAGGGTTTCTGCTGACGCAAGCACATCATTTGCAAATAGTCAGTCATTTGACCTTTCCAATCCTGCTCTTTGCCTCCCTTGTCTCATTGTATATATTGCATGTCTTCTCTTTGATTCTTCACATCCCTCTTTCTCGCTTCTCCACCCTACAGAGAGCTTGTCTCCTGTTTCTCCATTGGGTTAAGTCTATGAGAAAGGCTGGAAGAAGAGTAGGAAGAAAAAGAAAGAATGCTCCATTTCTTTCTGTGGCCTTTTGGAAAATGTCCCAGTGTCTCTCTGAACCATTCCCCACCCCCAACCCCGCCCAGGGTGAAAGCCTTCTCTTGTGTGGTGTTAGCATTACAGTGCCTCTGGCCATATGTTCTCATAGTTTTCGTTCATCAGAAAAGTCTACCACTTTGATTCCTTTAAGACATTTTTGCTGAACATTGTATTTGCTTTTTGCTCAGATCTTTAAAAGCGTGCTTCTGCTACCTTCTGACCCTGGGGAGTTCTGAAAATCTCAGTCACCCAAATTCTATCTCCCGTATACACTGTTTTCTTCGGCTGCCTTCAGCCCATCATTTTATTCTCTGGTACACAGAGGGGTTTGGGGGATGCACGTTGGAATTTACTTCAGGAGGATAAACTGGGACTCCACACTATGCAAGAGTCTTTTACCAAATTCTGGAAGTTCTCTGCCATGTCTTCTTCACCATTTTTCTGTCCTGTTCTCTTGGGGGGGCTGGGTTGTTTTGTTTTGTATGTTTTATTTTCCTTCTTTTTTTGAAACTCACATTACCTTTGTTAAACCTTCTGATAGTCTGCAGATTCCTGAAGCTCTGTTCATGGTTTTGTCACCTCTCTCTCTCTCTCTCTCTCTCTCTCTCTCTCTCTCTCTCTCTAGCACATATAATGTGTATGTATGCAAGCTCATTTGTGTGGCGGCGTCCACATGCGTGTGCATGTGTGTGTGTATGTGTAAGCATGTGGAGACCAGAGGTCAGCCTCAGACATCATTCCTCAGGAACTGTCCATCTTATTAGCCAATCAGGATAGGCTGGATGTCATGTGAGCCTAAGACAGCGGTTCTCAACCTTCTCAATGCTGCAGCCCTTTGATACAGTTCCTCATGTTGTGGTGACCCCAACCATAAAATTATTTTTTTGTTGCTACTTCATAACTGTAAATTTGAGACTATTATGAGTGAAGATGTAAATATCTGTGTTTTCAGGTGGTCTTAGGTGACCCCTGTGAAAGGGTTATTCAATGAACCAAGGGGATCTTGAGAACCTTTGGCCTAAGGGCTTCTCCTGTCTCTATTTCCCCAGCACTGAAATTCTAAGCACGTTCTCACTCCCAGCCTGTGTGTAGGTGCTGGGGACCAAATTCAGCTCCTCATGCCTGCACGGCAAGCCCTTTACCCAGCAGTGATTTTTTTTTTTTAATCAATTTTCAGTGATTAAATTTCTACTTGGGGGCTGAGCAGACAGTTCAGTGGGCAAAAAGTATTTGCATAAACATGATGGCCTGAATTCAAAATCCATATAAAAGCCTAATGGGGAGCATTTTTAACTTCAGTGTTCCTACAGGAATATAGGAGGCAGAGAGAGAATTCTCAGCAGACACTCACGGCAAGGTACACTGCTACACTGAGCAGAAAACAACAGAGACCCTGTCTCTAACAAGGTGGAAGATGAAGACTACTGATGAGCCAGTTTATCCCCTGTCTTCCACATGCGCTCTGAGACACCCAAAATGCCCATGTTCTCATGGATGAATGTGTGTGTATGCACACACATAATTTGAGCAACAGCAGGAGGGAAAAGTAAATTATATTTGGTCTTTTTGATATTTTCTACTTCTGATGATTTTTATTACTGTTGTTTTGGTTTGGTTTGGTTTAGTTTGGTTTGGTTTGGTTTGGTTTCTTTTTGGTGTATTTTTATTTCCTGGACAAAGACAACCTTAAAGGCCTTGTTTTGATAAATAATAAGGTCATCACTGAATCAATAGCTATTAATTACCTTTGCTTAAGGTGGATGGAATTTTTTTAAGTAGTCTGTAAGAGCATTTAGACAGTCTTGAACGGTGTAAACATAGCATGCAGACTGAGTTTGACTCTAGTCCTTTGGTGAATGTTGGGGTTTCTGTTGGCCAGTAACATCCTTAGAGTCAAGCCATGAGTTCTATCTTGTCTTTTGTGATTGACATCATATCTCAGATCAAACGTTCAAGCACTGCCTACACTACTTTGAACCTGTCCGGTGAGTCTATGTTTCTGGGGTCAGACAGGCACAGGGTATGTAAGCCCAATGAAGGAATCTTCTCTCATGTACAGCTCCTATTCCCTCTTCAGCATCTGGACATAGTTGAGCAGGCTACTTCACTGCAGAGAGACTAGATTCCCCTGGACTATTATTTCTATTGACTTTAAGTTGAAAAATAGAGTTGAATACTTCCACCTTGTCATGGACTGCCTTTGCTTAATCCTAGAATTTGCAAGTAGTTGTAGGTTCAAAACCAAAAAGTTTGGTTTTTCTGGGGGGTTTTGTTTGTGTGATTGTTTGTTGTTGTTGTTGTTGTTTGTGTGTGTCTTAGAGGATAGGGCTTGTGCTTTGTCCATAATATGTAGCAACTACTTAAATTCTTTGAGTGTTTATTCCTACATAAAAGCAAAACTTCCTTTTGGACAAAAATATTCATTTAAAGTTTTATCACAGAAATGTGAATTGTGTTATTTTGTTTACTTCAAAATGGTTGCTAATTTTAATTATGATTTCTTCCTTATTATTTTTGACATTGGATTATTTCTATTAATTGTTAGGTATTGGAGTTCATGACTGTCTCTGGTTTTTAAATCAATCCCACTTTGTTAATGGACACTCTGGATGATGTCAAGTATTTGAAATGTCTTGACTTTCTTTAT